CATAACATTAGTGGAGGAATCCCTAGCTGAATAGATATTGACAATCATAGCATTAGTATAGGGATCCCTAGCTGAATGGTTATTAACAATCATAGCATTAGCAAAAGGAATCTGACTGATTGGGTATAACAATCATAGCATTAGTAAAGGAATCCCTAGCTGAGTGAATATTGACAATAATTTCATTAGTAAAGGAATCCCTAGCTGAATAGATATTGACAATCATAGCATTAGTGAAGGAATCCCTAGCTGAGTGGAAGTTTACCCATACTAGCAGGTTTCTTGAATACTATCTTGCACCTGACATCTCTGACTATTCTCTAAAAGGTACCAAAAACTTCACATATTCATCATCAATTTATATTTAACTACTGGCTGAAATAAATAAAAATGGACCCAATGAGTATAGCAGGAGTAAGGTTGTAATAGTTTTACTATGTTATATAACTTCTATGTTAATCATGCAAATGAAATGTGTTAGTATAAAATACACAGAAGGTCTATTATAATCCATCATTTGATATCCACAAGTAAATGACTTTTATTGATGTTTGCAACAGATGTTTTTTTCCAAGATATTCCCTTGTCTTTGTCCCATTCGATATGTAGTAGCAATACATACAACTGTATTATTTAACATCACATGCACTTCCAAAAAAGGCTTTGTCTTCAAACAATTTGTCAGAAACATTAAACAATTTATTTCTATAGCTTCTTAAAATAATACCTCACATATTTTCATATCATTGGTTCCTGTTGATCTGAAGTTGACCAAAAGATAAATGACTATTCAATATTTGTGGCAGCCCTTTCAATTGTCTTAATGTGAATAGCTATTCATGCCAATGTGTGCTCGGTATTGAAGTGACTAACTTTGAGAATTTGAGTGAAAGTGTCTTGTGCATTTGTAAGAGCTGTGCCCTAAAAAAACTAATTAAACTGAATGACACATTGATTTTTAGCTTCCCTGTCGACTTTGTCGAGCGGAGCTTATCATATGAGTGATTGTCTGTCGTTGGCGTCCGTCGACGTCCGTGTCAATGTTTTACTTTTTCAACTTCTTCTTGAGAACTACAAGCGTGAATGCTTTGATACTTTGTGTATATGTACCTTGGGTAGACCTCTCTCTGATTTGTTCATTTCATGATGATATCTTTAATTCTCTAATTTTGGTGAATATTTTTGTCATTTTGGGTAAAAAGTGATATTTTCGACTTCTCGTTAAAAACCGCAAGTCCAATTGCTTTTATAGTATATATATGGGTACTACATGTGGACCTCTCTCAGATTTGTTTATTTTGTATTGATATCTTTAATTCTCTAATTTTGGTGAATATTTTTGTCATTTTTGGTAAAAAGTGATATTTTCGATTTCTTGTTAAAAACCACAAGTCCAATTGCTTTGATATTACATATATAGGTA